TAGTACGCAGTTTACTTTGGATCTAACTCATATTTCGGATTATGTAAAATAAAAAAAATGAAACTTAATTGTAGAATTTACGACGTTATAGGAGGAAAATTTCCATTTAAACCGTAAACGTTTTCGTGATAATTAAATGTTACAAAACATTATATTTCTGCCAATTAAAATTTTGAGAATCCGTTATTCACGCATTAGAGAACTCATAAGATAAAAAAATTCAAATTATTTTCTAGAGTAAAATACATTTAAGTTATTATTAGAAAAAATACAAAATTAAAATATAATATCTGAAATTATTCCTCATCTTCTTTTTCTTTTTTTTTATAAATAGGTATGATCAAACTGGAAAAGTCTACGTGAATATTCTTTTTTTTAATTTGCAAATGATCTTTTTTTTTTTATCTATTGAACTATCTAAATTTGAGTTTTTCATCCATGTTTATATGTTATTTGCAAATGATCTTTTTCTGACTTTTTTGTCCATACAAGTTTTATCAAATCCACTATTTTTTATAATGAAGATTGTACTAGTCGAATATTGAGATCGTATGTAATATATTGGTTATCATATTGTCCAGGTACAAATTGTATTATCGAACCATAATATTTATTTTGATGCACAGAAATATTGAATCTCTGTTACAGCGTGCCATAGGGCGTTAGCTGTTGTAGTTGTGGTGAGTATACATTAATATTAAATTCAAAATATTAGAAAGAAGATAAATACAAAGCAAGCAAGCATCGATGCTCAAAGCATTACGAGTCTAAGTGCACATGTGTGGTTCGGTACTTGGGTAGCATCAAGTTGGCATTTCACAAAATGCTCGACCAAAATTAAACCTAATTATTTTTCTTTCTTTCTTTCTTTTTTTATTTTCCTTATTTATTTGTTTACATTTTAAAGAAATGCTTGTATGTCGACATCTAATTCATCTGAATGCTTTTATTTGATATAGACTATAATAATCATCCTATTTTTTTTTTATATTTGTTTAGGTCTATAGACGTATCCATAGACTATATATAGAGGGTCATTTTAAATTTGGATATTAAACGTAAGTGGAACATAGACGTCGGGGTGCGAGCTATATTATTAGTCTATGATACTAAGTCGTGACAGCAAGGTCGAAATATCCTATGCATGATTCGAGCATTAGATATATAAAAAAAAATGTTATCAAATCGACGAAGTAAATACTTGATTTCCATCGTGGATAAATAATTTTGTCGGATAAATATTCTTTTTCTTTAAAATCGAAGAAAAATATAATTGATATGGGAAATCAACAAAAATTGAAAAAGGAAAAGGTGGAGAAAAAGCAAAGATACAAATACAATTCCTTTGTTTAGGCGAAGTGGAGCATACCACCCCAAGTGTTAACTAATGATGAATTATTCCCCGTCCGATAACGCCACTAATTATATATTAAAAAGCAAATCAAGGCTACGTACGTATGATTAATTTATTCTACTTCTTTATAATCGTAGTGGTTATATTTTAATTATAGCATGATGAATTAAAATTGTCGGTAGTGGTTTTTGTATTATCAATAAATTTATCTCGTTAATTTGTTTTTCTAATTTTTTTCCAACATCTTTCACATACCCAAAAAATTGTATGTCTAGTGTCTACCTCGTAATTCGTTGGGATGTTGTATTTGTAGTGAGAAATGTCATAACTATATAAGATATTTCTCTAATTATGCAATTTTTTTGGACCATATTTATACGATGCATGTGTAGAAGTAATCAAGTATATATATATGTATATCTCAGAATATTTCAGATTTAATTTTCTCATACTAATTTTTTTTTTTTTTTCAAAACGCACGTCCATCCATGCGGATCATCGCGAAATTGCAAAAGTTACGTAAATATATGATATATCAAATCGACATACCAAACACATGCCCCATTTTGGCGTTTGTTTTGACGGCGGTTGAATGGACAAATTTACATTCCCATGTGCACATCAGTGAAAATTTCAAACAGAAGATGCGGTATGCATGTATGTGTAGTGTGCATGCATTCAAAACTATTGTAAATTTCACATATCTTAACTTGTCAAAGTAAAATACAATTCCATAAAGATATTAAATAAAAAAAAGTTATTTTGCAAAAAAAAACTAATTATTTCATAGCAGCTCGAGCCGAGTCGAGCCGAGTCGAGCCGATAATAGCGAGCCGTTGGCTGGGGAACTATGCACGGAGATGCTTCTTGGGATCAGTAAGCCGTTTTTGGCTCACGCGCGAGTTGGGCGCGTGGAGGGCCCCGAGGCACATGGAAGGGGTTCCGCTGAAGTGGCAGGAGGAAGAGTCAAAATTGGCTGACGAAAAAAATGTTTAGGGTTGGAATATGGGTCCCACTTACCACACGACAAAGCAAAGTTGTCTCTGTGTGGGCCCCAATAATCGGCCCGTTACAAGGATCTTTCTGTTCTTTCCTCTTTTTTTTTAATTTGTAATAATGTTTTTATTTATTAAAGTTTAAAATTTATTTGGGGTTTGGTTTTGGTCTCCTCTTTCCACACTATTTTCCTTTTACAGATTCCAAATTTCATTCACTGCCAACCAAAAAAAAGGTTAAATACCACTTAATTATGAAAATATTTATAAATTATTTTTTGTAGTACGCAGTTTACTTTGGATCTAACTCATATTTCGGATTATGTAAAATAAAAAAAATGAAACTTAATTGTAGAATTTACGACGTTATAGGAGGAAAATTTCCATTTAAACCGTAAACGTTTTCGTGATAATTAAATGTTACAAAACATTATATTTCTGCCAATTAAAATTTTGAGAATCCGTTATTCACGCATTAGAGAACTCATAAGATAAAAAAATTCAAATTATTTTCTAGAGTAAAATACATTTAAGTTATTATTAGAAAAAATACAAAATTAAAATATAATATCTGAAATTATTCCTCATCTTCTTTTTCTTTTTTTTTATAAATAGGTATGATCAAACTGGAAAAGTCTACGTGAATATTCTTTTTTTTAATTTGCAAATGATCTTTTTTTTTTTATCTATTGAACTATCTAAATTTGAGTTTTTCATCCATGTTTATATGTTATTTGCAAATGATCTTTTTCTGACTTTTTTGTCCATACAAGTTTTATCAAATCCACTATTTTTTATAATGAAGATTGTACTAGTCGAATATTGAGATCGTATGTAATATATTGGTTATCATATTGTCCAGGTACAAATTGTATTATCGAACCATAATATTTATTTTGATGCACAGAAATATTGAATCTCTGTTACAGCGTGCCATAGGGCGTTAGCTGTTGTAGTTGTGGTGAGTATACATTAATATTAAATTCAAAATATTAGAAAGAAGATAAATACAAAGCAAGCAAGCATCGATGCTCAAAGCATTACGAGTCTAAGTGCACATGTGTGGTTCGGTACTTGGGTAGCATCAAGTTGGCATTTCACAAAATGCTCGACCAAAATTAAACCTAATTATTTTTCTTTCTTTCTTTCTTTTTTTATTTTCCTTATTTATTTGTTTACATTTTAAAGAAATGCTTGTATGTCGACATCTAATTCATCTGAATGCTTTTATTTGATATAGACTATAATAATCATCCTATTTTTTTTTTATATTTGTTTAGGTCTATAGACGTATCCATAGACTATATATAGAGGGTCATTTTAAATTTGGATATTAAACGTAAGTGGAACATAGACGTCGGGGTGCGAGCTATATTATTAGTCTATGATACTAAGTCGTGACAGCAAGGTCGAAATATCCTATGCATGATTCGAGCATTAGATATATAAAAAAAAATGTTATCAAATCGACGAAGTAAATACTTGATTTCCATCGTGGATAAATAATTTTGTCGGATAAATATTCTTTTTCTTTAAAATCGAAGAAAAATATAATTGATATGGGAAATCAACAAAAATTGAAAAAGGAAAAGGTGGAGAAAAAGCAAAGATACAAATACAATTCCTTTGTTTAGGCGAAGTGGAGCATACCACCCCAAGTGTTAACTAATGATGAATTATTCCCCGTCCGATAACGCCACTAATTATATATTAAAAAGCAAATCAAGGCTACGTACGTATGATTAATTTATTCTACTTCTTTATAATCGTAGTGGTTATATTTTAATTATAGCATGATGAATTAAAATTGTCGGTAGTGGTTTTTGTATTATCAATAAATTTATCTCGTTAATTTGTTTTTCTAATTTTTTTCCAACATCTTTCACATACCCAAAAAATTGTATGTCTAGTGTCTACCTCGTAATTCGTTGGGATGTTGTATTTGTAGTGAGAAATGTCATAACTATATAAGATATTTCTCTAATTATGCAATTTTTTTGGACCATATTTATACGATGCATGTGTAGAAGTAATCAAGTATATATATATGTATATCTCAGAATATTTCAGATTTAATTTTCTCATACTAATTTTTTTTTTTTTTTCAAAACGCACGTCCATCCATGCGGATCATCGCGAAATTGCAAAAGTTACGTAAATATATGATATATCAAATCGACATACCAAACACATGCCCCATTTTGGCGTTTGTTTTGACGGCGGTTGAATGGACAAATTATGTTTACATACAAATACTTACTACTATTAATTTGACGTAAGAAACCAATTGTATGTTCATCTAAGATTCTTGTCGACAATATTACAGATCAAGGAGCTGAGAAATTAATAGTAGTAAGTATTTGTATGTAAACATGCAAACTCGTATAGAACAAGTGTTAATTAACAAATAATTAGTTCATTAAATTATAAATTTGAACTCTTCCAAAATTAAATCTAAAAAAAATGTAAGAAAACAAAGGGGGCCATGTGAAAGTGTCCACACCATGAACATTGACCGGGTAGCTATAAATCGACATGCATTTTGTCTATTGCGCGTAACATATATAGTGTCTCACATGGCATATTCTCTGCCTATATACCTATATATACACACACACACACTTAAATCAACCCAATTTCCTAGAATCGGATGGTAATAAATAAATAATAGTTTCGTCCACATTTACAAACTTATCCATATCGATCTCTTTAACAATCTTATATCATAAGATCGATATAATTCGCACCATAATTAAAAAAAACACATAGCAAGTATATAACCTGTTGGAGGAGGGAGTCGTTGTCGCGTTGAAGCGCGTCGCGATTGCGTTTGAGGGCGTCGTAGTTAGCCTTCAGAACGCCGTAATCACGGTCGAGCTGTTTGGTCTTCCAACGCGCACGGCGGTTCTGAAACCAGATCGCCACTTGTCGCGGTTGCAGACCCAACTCCTTAGCCAACTTCACCTTCCTCTCCGGCTCGAGCTTGTTCTCTATCTCGAAGTTCTTCTCGAGCGCTTTCACTTGCTCCACGCTCAGCCTCCGCTTCTTCTCCCCGCCGCCGCAGGCCACCGCCACGTGGCATCCCTCGTCGTCATCGATCATCGCCGGAAAGTCTTGGACGTTCGTGTATAGAAAGTTGGTGGTTGATCTTGGACTCATCATTTGTTCATCTGCTGGTTGTCAAAGAGTTTTTTTTTTATCAATGATAAAGCATTTGGAAAAAAAAAAACAGCAAAAAAAATATATAAACAGAGAAAAGAATAGTAGTAAACGGAATATTACGATGTCATAACAATTCAGTTATCACATACGTGCCAATTACGCATTCACGTAGGATATATAAGAATCGAAATTCCAGATTAATCATTATCACAACATATGTAATATCATTAAATCAATTGCGCAATATCACAATTCTAATATAGTAACGTATATGTAAAACTTCATATGTATGTATGTTTTTCACATGAAGGTTTTTTTTTTTTACCTCCTGAAGTTCTGCAGACGGACATGAAAGCACCGAGAGATTCCGAGCTTCCAAGTGATCTCTTCATGTTGTTTTTGACAACTTCTTTCAGATGGGAAATAAAGGAAAAAAAATAAACTGAAAGAAAAACAAAAAAAGGGTTCCGAGATCTAAGGATGGGTGCTTAATTGTAGCTATGTTTTCAGAGATGAACTTATAAGGATCTGTTTGGTCGTTCGGACAAGTGTTGAGGATGTTGCAGCAACTGATCCTGTCTGGTCTGAATTGTTGCTAAAAGAAATTAATACATCTGTATACAATTACTCCACCCACTTGTGCTGCTCTCCGACAAGGAACGATCTTTCCCCTGAGCGTAAGTAACCCATCGATCCAAATATGAAAACAGAGGAAAATAAGCAACACGTAGCAGATTTTGCCGGATACCCACCACGAAAAACGTCAACTTTCTTGCAAAATTCACCGGAAAAAGGAAGAAAGAAGAGAAATTAGGATCGGGATGAGAGTTTATCTCTCTTCAAATTCATGTTTTTTCCCTTGTTTTGGCCGAGAGAGAGAGGGGGGGGGGGAGAGAGAGATGGCCTTACACTTTCTTCCCGGTTTTAAATATATAAGACCACAGCTTAACCCTAAGCGCAGAAGATGGTAGAGATATCTTGGGTAATTTTATTATATTTTATATAAAATATCCGATTTTTAAATAGAAATCATTTAGTAACCAGCCTTTTTTTCTTTACAGAAATACAAATATATAATCGAAATAATGTTTAAATTTTTAGACAGTTGCCGCGGGATCAAACTTGTATATATGAAACAATGGCATGATTTTCTCACATTTAGAGAAATTAATCAGACCATCAAAATACAACCTTTTTTAGAACACGTCACGTAGTGTACCGTACTGAAGATTATAATTACTCAGACATCGATAGGCTTATCATTAAATTGGCCACGTACAATATGTACCCACGTTATGTGGAAAAAAGCTGTCGGTTAATGCGTTGATACGGTAAATGCTTTTACGGTTAATATTGTCAAATTCATATCGCAAAATATCTGAATTTCAGTTCACACGGCGTATGGATTTTCTTGTTCTCGAATTCACTAAATTAATTTTAAAATTTCGTCACCAAATAAAATAATACGTGTGTATATATATATATATATATATATATATATATCGTGTTTTTGCAATTTTTATAGATTTTCTTACTGTAATTAGTTTGGCGACCGGCTGTAGCCGGTTTCTCTCAGAGTCGGTGGGTTCGGCTCGGCTAACTTTAAGCCGGTCGTAAATTGAACAAAAACCTAAAAAGATCTATAAATTTTTAAAAAATTTAATTAAACATAAACTATCACTAGAGCTATATGTTTTTTTCTTTTATAAACATAAATACGAAATTATTATATTTATTAATTTATTTCAATTTTAATTGTTCAATATTTATAATCATAAATCAATATCATAAATATATTTAAAATTTAACTGAAAAATAACAAAAAATTAACTGAAAGAGAACGATCCAAATGGATTCCATGTAGTGAAAATTTTCTTCAAATGTCTTATTCAATGAATGAAGCCTAACTAATACAGCGGAACAACCCTTAATTTTATAATATAAAATATAAAATACATACCGTGTTAATATTTTTTTATATTATAATAAGATACGCCGAGATACATACCTATATAAATAATAATAAGTAATACAGGTCGGTCCAGTTGGGTACGCAAAATTTATTTATTTATTTAAGCCAAAGGTTTTAAAAGACTTTGTATCTGTGGGTCTGCCTTTGGCAGGTTTTTCTGTGTACTGTCATTTTCTCCAATTAATTTACCAAAAATGAGAGAGTCTCATTGTTCGTTTTCATAAATTTCATACGTAACACTCCATCTCCTTTAATTTTTCATGATATTATATGGGAGATTGTCACGGAAAAATATGATCACACTGATGAGTTATCGTCTGACACGGTTATGGGTTTCGTCAATTTTAAATTCTAGAGATAAATATGGATATTCAATTGGTCATCAGTGTGATCTCTAGATAAATATATATAGAGATAAATATCGTCTGACACGGTTATTGGTATATATATATATATGTGTGTATGTGTATGTATATAGACGCGTATGTATGCAAGCGAGTGGTGATCTTACCATTCGGATGAAAATTCATGTGTGTGTATGTATATGTATATAGACGCGTATGTATGCAAGCGAGTGGTGATCTTACCATTCGGATGAAAATTCGGTTTTAAAAAAATGTACAACGATGTAGAATTGTGGAAATTTAGTTTTGATATGATAATCAAGAACAAGAACCTCGAAATATAATGCGAAAATCATTCGCATGCATGCATACATGCATACACACACATACATACATACATACATACATACATACATACATACATACATACACACACACACACACACACACATACATACATACATACATACATACATACATACATACATACATACATACATACATACATACATACACACATACATACATACATACATACATACATACATACATACATACATACACACACACACACACACACACACACATACATACATACATACATACATACACACACACACACACACACACACACATACATACATACATACATACATACACACACACACACACACACACACACATACATACATACATACATACATACATACATACATACATACATACATACACACATACATACATACATACATACATACATACATACATACATACATACATACATACATACATACATGAGACAAGTGTGACGTGTGCAAAGGAAATTCACAGGATAAAAAAAAAGATTAAAAGCTCATGTTGAAAATTGGGTATGGGAAAGGGGACAGAACTTGATGGGATAGCTGACTTTCTCACGATCGTTGCCTACTCAATCCCTTTTAGGTTTCAATTCGTTTGCTCCTTCTCGGCATCAAAATACTCGTCTACATGTGTACATACGTATATGTATACATGCTTGTATTTATACACACACACACATATATATATATCATATTCAAGAGAACATATAATCAACAAATCAAAATGTATATAGGACACTTTACATGATAGATTCGGACAATGATGAGATTTGTTGAAGATTTAGTTTACAAGTCAAAGAAACGCCACTTGCGAATTGTTCTAACGACTAGTAATAGTGCAGGCAAATACGTTAATGGCTTTTATTAAATACGAGATGCATTTTACCATAAAATCCGTTATATTAAATAAAAACAGCAATAAATGTACAACAACAACCATTACAGTTTTTGATAATCGTATTAATTCACACGTACCAGATACGTATGTATATGCAATAAATATTTTAAGATTGGATAAAGGAGACATCTAAAATATAATATATTTCCATAGGGAAAAAGCGTTTTGCCTTAGATGTTAACGCTTAAATTTGGCTAATTAAACAACAAGCGTTACAAGGAATCCAACAATTGGGCATGTTTTAAAATTAATGGCAATAGTATGAAAAAGCTAACAAAAAACAAAATCAAATGTGACATATAAATAGATTAAACTAAAAGAGATTCTTATAAGAAGCTTTTTTTTTTGACATTTCGTATTCTAATTTCGTAAGTAGCTTTTTCTAAAGTTAGAGAAGGAAAAAAAACATCTAATGTGACATATAAATAGATTAAACTACATCGTTATTTAGTTGTAGAAGATGGCAAACCATATTATATACGAACAGCAATTACATTTCTTGGAATATTTATAATATTATTAATTGTTGGGCCAAAATTATCATTTATATAATTGATGATGATCTTCCGACGTTGTTTATCCCAGGTTAGTGGAAAGCCCACACACCCGAAAAAAGCGAAAATATAAAAGATGGTTTGAGTTATATTTAAAATGTAGGATTTGGTTGATGAGCTGGTTATCATATATTTAAATAAAAAGTAACTAATTCCACTAAATTCTCGATGTTATAACCTTCTAGAACAAAATATTAATTGAATAATTAAATCAGAAAAAAAAACAAATGTCATACACTCACCCTCGTATACAAAAGTAATCCGATCCACCATATATTCTATTCTTATATATGCTCTTTGCTATCGTGATTCGAATTAATATTGAAATTTAAATAACAAAATTTCGAGCATTATATTTTGTGACAAATTGACAATGAAAAGCGATCGATTCCGTGGGGCTATTATATTATAATTTATGAAACAAAGTTTCACAAATATGTTTTAGTAGTTTTTAGGTAACCCAATTAACTATTAACATGGATGGGCCTTTTACAGGCCCAACTAATTTTATTTATGATCCATGTAGCCCAAATACAGCCCATCCAAATTTTTTCTTAAACAGAGATATTTAGGCATGCTAAATATATCCTCTTAAATATACTTCCTACTCATTTGGAAATTCATGTAAGACTTCTTTGCTTTTCTTTTATCTTATCATTTTACTTTTCATAATTTACGCCAAACTCTAAACAATAAATTATAAACCGTGAACCCTAATCTCTAAATTCTAAATTCTAAAACTAATTAGTCTAAACCTTAAACTCTAAACTTAACCAATCATAAAACTTAAAATCCTACCTCGAGAGTTAGGGTTTGTGATTTATGTGTAAGAGTTAAAATTGGTTTGGAGTAGAGTTTAGGTTATAGGATTGAGAATTTAGGATTTAATATCAGTAGTTAGCATTAGGGGCAAATTAGAAATAGTAAAATAAGAAAAAAAAACAGAACTATATAGTAAAATAAATTAAAGATGATTAGAAAAAAAAGGATATGGCATTACATAGCATTACTCTATTACAAAATAATGTACCAAACATTTTTTTTTTCCTGGTTAAGTGTACCAAACATTTTTTTAAATATTTTTTTTGAATTGATGCATTTCCTTGTCCTTGGTTTTATATCATTATAATATTCAAATCGCGTCAAATGGATCTATGCATTGATCCATTCATACTGTACCGTTATGTGTGTGTGTGTGTATATAATTTTGTTTGTGTGCGTATGATTTCCTCTTTTTAAGGAATAAATAAATAAATATCACAATTCTTCCTATAATAAATCTGGTAAAAGCCGCATGTTCCCGATGCATTTCTATTTATAGGCTTCCCATGTATTCGAACATCGACGTCTAATTTCGAAGCAAATAAATCCAATCCTTTTTTTATTTTTTTAGTTTATTTTGGAAAAGGTGCATGATTGACCGTCGTCGAGCTTTTCATTTTCCAAATATAGTAAATAATATTGAGTATGTATATATATATATATATATATATATATATATTATTTAACTCCAAAAAATATTGTAAGTTTTGAATTCAATTTTCACGTTGAATTCTTCGGACAAGCTCATGCACTGCACTTGCGATATCATCAACAGAAGTCACTTGAACAGTTTCTTCTACCTGTTCACAAAACCAATGATTTAAACACAATTAGTGTATATATATACACACACACAATAATATCATACAATTCTTTGGACAGATTTTGCACCAAAAAAAAGGGAGATGTTTCTTTGTGTCCAATATTATATTATGATATTTTAAAAGAAGTAATTATAAACATAAGAATAAATAATAATAAAAAACTTACCTTGACACTGAAAGTGAAAAGGACCATGTGTTGGGAAGTGGTGAGATTGAGGCAAAGTACAGTTAGGCCCAGAGAGTAGAATTCAGTGACCATCTTGGAGAGAAGGCTAGGCTGAGCCTTTGTTAGCACTTTGATGTTGGCATGCCTTTCCGCCATCGTGACTTCCACGTCAGCAACCGCCGCTCGGATCCGGCCGCCGGAAAAGGTGGCGGCGGCGGTGGAGTACTGTGGGAGGATGAAGAAGTTGGAGAATATGGATTGGCTTTGTGGTTGTTTTGATTGGATGGCTTTTTGGGCTTCAAGTGATTGGAGGATTTGTTCTAGCTCCTTTACGTACTTGATGGCTCCTCCAACTATCGATGCTTGGTCACCCTTATTCCACGAATTTTAAGGGAAAAATATGGTAATTAAATTTGGTACAGTATGTGTTATGTCCTTTGAGAATGCAGGTTATATCATATATAAAGGTTGAAATGACTTAATCTGCAAAATATGATCATGAACTGTAAAGGGTTCGGCTATATATATGAATTTAATTAATAAGAACATTATATATATATATATATATATATGTCTTTTGATAAAAAACAATAATTTGGTACAATATGTTTATGTCATTTGAGAATGCGGATTATATGATATTATAAAAGTTAAAACCACTTAATCTGCAAAATATTATCATGAACTGTAAAGGGTTCGGCACACGCATACATATATATATATATATATGAATTGAATCAATAAAAATATTATAATATAAAGACGCATATGAAGAGAGTTGTACCTTTTGAGAATAAGAAGGGGGCATGATGGATCGGAGAACAGAGAGAAGATGGTTCATTTGTTTCCTGCGGTTACGTTCAACGGCAATGTGAGTAATCCTTTGATGCTCAATCTCTTCTACGTTCTTTTCGCTTCTCATCTTCCTCCTCCTCCTTTTCCGCAGCGGCGGCTTACCCTCTAACTCTCCGGTTTCGCCGGAAAATCTGTTTTCCGGCGAGGAAATGGAAGGAGCCACCGCCCCGGCCGCCGCCGCGGCCGTTGTTTGCCAAGACGCGGTGGCGTTGGACACGTGGTAATAATCGAACATTTCATAGTTTAAGGGTTCATCTTGCCGGAACATCACTTGAGCTTCTATCGTCATTCTCTTTCTATTTCTCTTCGAAATGGGAATAATAACGAAATGAGTGAACAGATTATTCTCTTTTGTTTTGACAAGTGGCTTCTAGATATCTTTCCCAAGAGCTTAAGATGCATATATATACATATATGGAGAGAGAGAGAGAGAGAGAGAGAGAGAGAGAGAGAGAGAGAGAGAGAGAGAGGGCGAGAGAGAGAGAGAGAGAGAGGGCTAGAGAGAGAAAGAGAGGCTTGTAATAATGCAATTCCATTGTACTAATGTTTAGAGTACTTTAAATTGTCTATGTGTAGTAATGTACTTTTAAATTAGGTCACGTCAACATTAACCAACATGTAAGAGTATATAATCATTCGTCTTTCATGCAACAGTGATATATATATATATATATATGTATGATTAATTAACGAATTAATATATAGTAATAATATATTTTCTGTAGTTAGTACAGCTTGCATTTCCTTGGGATACTCATACATCGGCAGATCTTATTGGATTAGACCTTAAAGCCGTAACCTTAATTAACTTACTTAATTTTCGCTGTCCACACGTAAACAAATGATGGAAACCCGTAATTTGGTCAATTTTGTTCTTGAATACTCTCCCCATGGCAGTCTCGCCTCTCTGCTCTTCGGTATTCTCTTTTACAACAGCCCAATGATCGTTTGATGCAATAAATCACTCTCAGATTTCAAATTTCCGTGTTTCCTTTGCTGGTGTTGCAGGGTCTGAGGAGTGTCTGGAGTGGAGGATAAGGTATAAAGTGGCTCTTGGAATAGCAGATGGTTTGAGTTATCTTCACAATGAATGCCCGAGACGGATTATTCACCGTGACATCAAAGCCTCTAATATATTGCTCAACCAAGATTTTGCAGCTCAGGTACGGTTTTAGATATAGTCCCCCTTACTAGATACAGTTGGCCTTAAAACTCATAAACATGCCTTCTGCTTCAGATTTCGGATTTCGGACTTGCAAAGTGGCTAACAGAAAACTGGCCTCATCACCTCTGGTCGCCGTGCTGTTGATACAGCGAGCCGGCAAAGCCTCGTGATGTGGGTACGATCTGGAAAAAAAAATCATTATTTCAGCTCGAAAGTAAAGTTTCTTGCCTTTCATATTGGTGTTTGGTAATACAGGCCAAACCTCTTTTAGAGAAGAACAGTGTGGCTGAAATAGTGGATCCTCGGCTAGGAGATAACTTCGACTCGGGTGAGATGAAACTGGTGATGCAAACGGCGTCGATATGCATACACCTTATAGCCAAGATGCGCCCAGACATGACCCGGGTATCTCTCTTTCAAATCTATCTATGCATTTATCCCATAGGATCTGCAATGTAGTCCTTGAAATGAATCAAAGTTTTGGATGCAGGTGGTGCAGCTCTTGAGAGGAGAAGATGGGACAGAGGAAATGGAGAAACCGGGCGGAGGAAGAGCGGTGAGCCTTGACGGATGCTATCACCAAGATTACACCTGCGCCTCCTACCTCAACGATCTCACCCGCCACCGGCAACTCTTGATGGAGTGAGTGAAGTGAAGTGACTCGTCTTGTTTTCAACAAGCCCCACAGTGCAAGAAACCCAAAAAAAACCCCATCTTTTTTTGGCTCTTCCCTCAGTCTTCTTGGGGATTCTCTTGCCTATGTGTGCTTCTCCGTTGTTAAAAAAAAAAAAGATTTGATCTTTTGTTCTCCTCCATTGTGAATATCTCGAAAGAGAGTGCCCTTTTCTTTGTATTGGCTCTCGTCTGAGTGTAATGCGAATGCCAATTCTCAGCTAGTCCTTCTCTGTTTCTGTGTCCGGCAAAAAACCATTGTTAGCAGTCCAAAGAAACTTTGGCAATTGCCAGAAACAGATTTCAGAAGGAAAAACAGAGATCACATAGATATGAATCCATAAATGTCCGGAAAATTATGTGAGCTAAGACCGAGAACACATGACTTACGAGTATGTTTTGAAATAAAATAAAAAACAATTCTTGGGTAATGGAAGGGCGAATCTATGCAGCATTAAGTAGTCTTCTTTAGTTCCTCTCTAAACTCTAATCCGTCTCCGGCCAAAAAAAAAATGGCTACAGAAGAAACGATTCAGATGATGGTCCAAGTGGCGATTTTGCTACTTACCCTCGCCATGTTCTGGGCAGTGACGTACCTTCCGAAGCGAACCCTAGCGAACTTCAGAACCAAGCACCGAGCAACTGTCCAAACCCAGCGTCAGCTGATCCAAGCCTCCCGCCTCCTCGCTCGGGCACGAACCACCACCAACCGATCGCACTCGCTCTCCCTGGCCAAGTCCGCTCTCGCCGAGGCCGACGACGCGATCTCTCTCTCCCCCGACGACGCTGCGGCTCACATCGTTCGAGCCCTAGCCCTGGATCTGCTCGGCCACCGCACCTCCGCGCTCAAATCGTTCGATTCGGCTCTGACCTACCCGCGCGTAAAGTCACTCTCCGACGGAGAACGAGCGGACGCGCTGGTGAAGAGGGCCGAGATGAAGCTTGCGGTGAATCGGCGCCGGAGAATCGGATCGGCGATCGAGGATCTGGAGGAGGCCGTCAAGCTGGCCGATGCCGCCGCCGGCGACGGCGGAAGGGGAGACAACACGGCGAGGATGCATTGTGTGTTGGGTGAGTGTTACGAGTTCATGGGCTTGAAGGAGAAGGCTCATTGGGCTTACGACAAGGCCTTGAAAGCCCAACCGAGTTCGGCCGCGGCTCGTGACGGCTTGAACCGGTCCGGTTCGTAGCGGTTTTCTTTTTTCAATTTAAGCAGCTTGTTCTATATTTCCATTGTTATTCTCCTTTAAAGGGAGCTTTTCTACCGTCTGTGACTTTCTAAATAAGGGAATTTTTTCAGTTAAATAACACTATTCATTCATAAATTGAAACGAGCGTTACACCGAAAGGAGGCATACAAAAATCTAATACTCCGGAACTGCCCATAGATTCCCAAAAACTAGCACTTTCCACCCCCAAGATTAAAGATTAATATATACAGCCCCAGAACTTTCAGTTTCTGTCACTTCCCCCCCTCCCTATTTTGCCTACGGTTAACGAAGAAGTGGAAACCAAAGAAACCACTTCACTAGGTTCGGATAAGAGATGATGAGGTAATTAGTAAGATTGGTGGTCGGGCCACAAGAAGAACCCTGCCATTGGAGCCGGGACTGTGGTGTTAGACCCGGACGAGTCCGAGCCGGCGGGTAAGTGTTGGAAGTGGTTCTGGTGGTAGAGAGCCGCCGGTTCGAAAGGGATTCCGTAAGACTGGACCAAGTGGATGTGGTCGGAGGAGGACTGGTGGGTCAGACCGGGATTCTGATCAGAAGATGAAGAAGATTCCGACGAGAGTTTGAGCCGTTTGGCCGCCCCTCCGATCGGGAGGGAACTTTTCATGATGGCTTCTATGTCGTACCGACTCATCTCGAAGTTAGTAACGGCGTTGATTCCTCTAAACTTTATGGCCGCTATGTCATAAGCCTCGGCCGCCTCTTCCTCGGTCGCTGCAAGTTAGTCGAAAAAACACAGCATTAACCCGTCGGTCCAAAATTATTTAACCTCTCTTGGTAATATGACTAACAATGTTTGAAGTGGACTATTTTACCGAATGTTCCGAGGTAAAGATCCTTGTTCCCGGCGACACGGCCAATCCTCGCTTGCCACCGACCCTGCTGATGATGCCTGCGGGATAATCGCCGGTCCATATTTACGTCCCAAACGAAATTTACAAGTGACTCATAGTTTGAAGAAAATGTATGTACCTCGTGACGCCCCGGTATATCGAGGCGCCCCTCGAGAATCCGCTACTCTTCCTGAACATTACGAAATCCGAAACGGTTATAACTTTCCTAAAAAAATCCGAACCGAGGATTCGGGGAAAAAACGGGAATGATCGGACTCACTCACCTCCTGAGGGATGCAATGAACTCTTGCTTCGTCGAGTGTTTCATTTCATCCATTTCTTTCGTGTAATTCGATATCTAAAATCACCAAAGAGAATACTAACATATAATATCTTGGATATATATATATATATATATATATATAAATATTATATGAGATAAATTAAAAAAAAAAAGGAAAGAGGGAGAGAGAATACCGGGAAATTGGTAGTAGCAGTGGGACCCCAGTATTTTAGAGCAGCAAGGTCGTAGGCTCGAGCTGCCTTGTCTTCCTTATCATATCCGCCTGATGAATTCGAAATTATGATTAATCGGTCCGACCGTACAGACCGATGATTCCGGCAATAAACCGATCGAGAGATGTCGTTCGTTACCTAAATACACTGTCGAGCCAATTCACAAATCCAACCCGTATCGAGTCCCCAAAGTTACATGAAAAAAAAAACACACAGAGTCAGTTGCCATGCAGGACAAGGATAAGGATGCAAATAAACATCTACTAATTTAACTGAACAAAGTTTATACACACACATATGATATATATGTATGTACTGTGTAAATGGGCATATAGGAAAGTAGCGAAATTATAGGATTAGTGGGTCAAAGCGGGTCCAGATCATGTCAATAAAAAACAGAGTGTATACATCATATGGGAACTGCATGGGACCCATACATGCATGCCTCTATCACCATGTATGTGTGAACTGAGGGATTGTGGAGGAAAAAGAGGATCAAAGAAAAAGAGATGCAGACAAGGAACAAAATGGCGGCATCACCTTCGCATGAAAACATGGAAAATCAACCGTAATATAAAAAAAAGAATATATATATATATATATATTATATCCCGTACAACGATCTTTTCCTCCTGACTGAAAGTGAAAGCATTGTTAAGTCTTTTTTTTTTATATATAAATTCCAAAAATTGGGTCCTCCTCGACATACGCCATTTCTTCAAAGAGTCCATCAATCATCAGAAAGGATAAGACAGATCACCAAAAGAAAATAGCTTTTTCTTAAAGTTTTAGAATCTTTGCATGCAAATTTCTTATCATTCTTGAGAGAAAAAAAGGCCTCTCTTCCATTCCCTTTGTTATCCTTCATTCTTGTGTTTTCAAATCATAAAAGTTAAAACCTTTCAAATTCCAGTATATTCCATATAAAAAGCTTTGGTTTATCCGAGATAAGGCCAAAATCTCTAAACTTGGTTAGTTCAATCGGTAAAACGGAATATAAAACATTCGTTCCGTCCCGAATTCGAACAACAAATATGAAAAAAGGGTGTATATTCCAAATAACATTTGTCCTTAAAATTAGTCTGAATCTTATTCCAAATATTCAAGTATCCAAAAAATAAAAAAAAAATCACGTGACAATTGTTGATGAGTTAGATTCCCAAGACCATGGATAGCTAAGATTCGAATGGACCCTTACGTCTTCTTAGTGCATAATTCTAAATTCTAAGCATAAATATGGTTCCAACCTTTTGTAATGGTTTTCTCATAAGATTGTAAATTACTTGGAAAAAGAAATGTGAATCACCTTGACGACCTTTCCTGGCCTGACCCTCCCTCCTGCAGCTGTTATCCCATAGATGCGCTTCGTATCTCCCCGTCCATCTGTGTCTGCACCAAGAGAGAAAAAACGATACTTTCAAATAAAAATCAAAACTTTGAATGTTCCCAATCACACCCATCATCGCATTTTTCATGTTTTGATTACACATTTCACTTACCGAGTGACTCCTCGGTAGATCGAAGTCCGTTGCCCAAACGTATCAGCGATCTTCTTCGAGGATTCCGGCGTCTCCTCCGCCGCTACAGCGTTAGCGTTCACGGAAACCCTCTTAACGGTGATGTTTCCCTCATCGTTACTACCACTGTATGGACCAGCGTTTGCGTTAACCACCCCGAGAGACAAAGCGCCACCGCCGGAGAAACCTAGCTCCGTCCCGGGGGACTCTACAACGTGGCCCAGAAACTCTGCTCCGCCGGTGGTGCAGAAGAGGTGGGTCCGGCCGATGGAGGCGGAGTCGTCGACCTCCGAGCCGGAGTTGGTGGAGAAGACTGACGGAAACCCGACGATAGCCTTGAGGTCGTCGTGATCGGAGAAGATACCGGAGGTGTCGCTTTGGCGGTGGCGGTGGCGGTGGCGGTGGTCGTAGATTTGGGTTAAGGAAGAGCCTTGGGTGTCGGTTTGGTTGTCGGAATAACGGACGATGGAAGAGGAGTCGCCGAGAAAATCTTCGAGCTTTGGGATGGGATTCTGATTGAGGAAGGTTGAATCCGCCATGGAAGCTGTGATTTGAGCTTCTTTTTTGAATAATTCTTGGGGTTTCTGGTTCGTCCACCCTATCAACAACAATAAAAAACAAGATCGAGGAAAAACAGTCAGCAACTTCGAGCGGATCAGTTCGCAAGGCTTGTTTGGTTACCGAGAAGATTCTTTTAACAATACGAGGAACGTTCTTCCAAGCAGCAAGAAAAGGAACGGTGACTAATGGAGAGAGAGAAATCAAAACACATATATAATCAGCGATATTAAACTGTGACTAGGGCAAGAAAAAACGCCTGTTTGGCTCCCGAGAAAATGACAAAGTGAAAAACTTGGGTTTTATTTTACAGAAAACAGCTTCCGAGACGGGAGAAAAATGAAAGGCAGAACACACCCAGAAGAAAAAGTTCGAAGCTTTAATCGAAACAAAGACCAAGGAGAACCTTTTTCTTTCCCCCTCAAATCTCTCTTCCCCTTTTTTGCTCTCTCTCTCTCTCTCTCTCTCTCCCTCTTCTTTATATACACAATTGTCAGTCTAGTTCGCCACAAGGCATGCAAGCGAGGAGGGCTGGCCTATGTGGAAGAAAGAAGTCAAGCTGCAGGCACTCGACAACAGCAA